GGAACACAAGCAGGGGGAGTAGGAGAGGGAGAAGCAGGCTTCCCGCTGAGCAGGGAGCCCGATGTGGGGCTCAATCCCAGGACCCTGGGATCATGACCCGAGCCGAAGGCAGACGCCTAACGACTGAGCCACCCAGGCACCCCTATACTTTTTACATTTTTTTTAAGATTTTATTTATTTATCTGAGAGAGAGAGAGCACAAGCAGGGGAAGCGGCAGGCAGAGAGAGAAGCAGGCTTCCCACTGAGCAGGGAGCCCGATGCGGGGCTCAATCCCCGGACCCTGGGATCATGACCTGAGCCGAAGGCAGACGCTTAACCTACTGAACTACCCAGGCACCCCTACATTTTTTTAGATAAACTAAAAAAATAGTAGAAAAAAACACAAGAGGATATTTTTATAATCTTAGAGTGGAGAAAGCCTTTCTAAGGATGAAATAAAGTCAAAAGCTATAAAAGAAAATATTGATATGGATTTAACTACATAAAAACTTTTCAAAGATGGGAGAAAATATTTACAAATACTTGACACAAGAGGTTGATATCTGTAATATATAAAGAGTTATCATGTCTACATATATAATTTCTAGGAGAACAGTAGACAGAGAATATGAACAGGTCATTCACAAAAGAAATAAAGAGCCAGGGGCACCTGGCTGGCTCAGTCAGCAGAGCTTGTGACTCTTGATCTCAGGGTCGTGAGTAGATTACTTAAAAAAAGAAAAAGCCAAAAAACATATAAAACAAAGAAAATTTCATTAATAAAATCATTTTTTCCTCATTAGATGAGCAAAATTAAAAGGGTTGGTTGGTGATAATCTTGGTAAAGGACAACACAGGCGCTCTTTAGTCTCTGTAGGAGTATATGTTGGCACAAATTTGAGAGCGGTTTGGTAAAACCGCACATGTTGTTTGACTCAGAAATTCCACTTCTGAGAGTCTACCCCACAGAAATACTGTAAGGAGTCTACAAAGACATATGTAGGAGGCCGAACATTTTTGGAAACAAAGTCTGCTGACTGGGCGTGGGGAGATGTTTGTTTCATACACATGGTGGAACACTACACAGTCATAAAAAAGAATGAGGTGGACTGTGTACGGTCCTGTGGGAAAGTACAAATGAGACGTTAGGTGAAAAAAGCAAGTTGCCAAACAAAACATAGAGCGTGACTACGTATCTCGGAAGAAAGTCATCCAGTGTATGCATTTATACACCCAGACAGGACTGGAAGGTACCACAGCAAACTTAACAGTGATTAAATGTATTCTTCACTCTTTAAAAAGAAAAAAAATGTTTCACATTAGTTATATCCCTTTCACATTAAAATATTAACCAGGGGCTCCTGGGTGGCTCAGTCGTTGAGCGTCTGCCTTCGGCTCAGGTCGTGGTCCCAGGGTCCTGGGATCGAGCCCCGCATCGGGCTCCCTGCTCCGCGAGAAGCCTGGTTCTCCCTCTCCCACTCCCCCTGCTTGTGTTCCCTCTCGCTGTCTCTCTCTCTCTCTGTCAAATAAATAAATAAAATCTTAAAAAAAAAAATATTAAATAAGATTGGAGGACAGCCACCCATAGTCCTACCACCCAGAGACTAGGATTTTTACATATTTTCTTCTAGTCTGTTTTTTTCCAACTAGGATTTGGCTTCTTCTTTTACACGGTTGTGATTGGATCCTATGTATAGTTTCGTAGCCAGCTTTTTCCACACACAAACATCATTTTTAGTGGCTATTGAATCTTCTGTACCATATTTTACTTACCATGTTTAAAGCCCATGAGTTTAAAAACCTCCTGTGCAAGCCTGAACACCCACCTACCCTCGTACCTGCTGTGAACCATGGTGGAGAATAAGCAGTTGAAAGAGAGGACTGGGTATTTGCTGGGTGGGACAGGTGGGGAGGGTTGGTGACAGGTCACGTCAGTGGTAAAGAGAAATGTCCTCTCCTCCTCTCATCCTGATGTGGTTTGAGCTGGGCAGCACTCAAGTGTACCAAGAGATGATGGGTGGGGGGCGATGGGCCTTGGCCAGCCAAGGTGGGCCCATTGTGTCTTCCTACCTTCCTGGCAGTGACAGGACAACCCTTCCCTGTCCCATGCTTTTGCCAGGTGGCCAGTACTTGGCAGCACCACAAAATAAAGAGTTAACGACTGGCGGCCCATTTCCTCCTGCCTTAGGAAGAGAAAGTAGGTGCACAGGAAGGGAGGGTGCCTCACTCACCTTCCTCTGTCCCGGGAGTGGAAGAGGTGCTTGGTGGCCGTAGTGGGTGGGCTTGGCCAGGAGTAGAGTGCTGTGTTGGCAGTAAAGTGGTCAGCATGGCCTTCAGCTGATGCTAGAGTGGATGCAGTGAGGTCAGGGCTCAGGAGGAGCGGGGGTTCGGGAACATCAATCCCTCTTCTGTTTACCCCCAGCCTCCTGTTAGCCAGTCCTTGGGTGGGACCCTCTATCTCAGCCCCTTTCTCCTGCCCTAGGTCAGTAGTCAGTTTGGAAAGAGCTTGCTTCGCTGCTGGGAACATTTCCATGGCTTAAAACTCATTGCTGGTCTGGACCCTGTACCTCCCCAACCCCTCCCAGTATGCCCTGTATGAGGTTGGCTGAGAGAAAGTCCTCTCCCTGAAAATATTTTACTCAGTTTATTGAAAAGCAATGTGAAAAGGTTTCTGTTACTTATTTGCATATTTATAATGGTGCAGAGTAAAATGTTCAGATATTTTACCAGTCTGAAGTATAGCTTTGGGTCAGAAACACAGTAAGAGTTATAAAGCGACAATATTTTCAAACCAAAAATGAAATTCATGGGTGGAGGTTTTTGACATTGCCCAGTGTGGCTGGAGGCAGGCTGGGAAATGTCATTTAACATAGTAGAACTCCTAGGATACTAAAATAGTTTGTGGGGACACAGATCAGAATATTTTAAACTACCACGCCTCTCACGCATGTGGTAAACTATCAGTAAATATTTGTCAGTGACCGTGATTTCCTAATACCCAGGAGGCTTCCATGTGGGCAACCCTTTCCGTTGCTCTAAGACCAAGAGAGTGAGTGACCAGCAGGATTCAGGATGGCGGCTGTGCCAAGGAGTGGGGGTCCCAGCTAATTTCTGCTCCCTGCTCTCCCAACAGCCTACACGGACTTCTTCCTGCCACTGCTGAGTCGCTGCCCTTCCGCTATGGGGATAAAGAATAAGGATGGGGAGACCCCTGGGCAGATTCTGGGCTGGGGACCCCCCTGGGATTCTGCTGAAGAGGAGGAAGAGGACGAGGCCTCTAAGGAGCGGGAATGGAGGCAGAAGCTGCAGGGAGAGCTGGAGGATGAGTGGCAGGAGGTCATCGGGAGGTTTGAAGGTGAGGAATCCATTCCCATGCATAGCTGCCCTTCTTCCCCTTGACCACTTTTCCTGTACCCGCCGCATGAAACCTCCCGCCGGCCTCCTGTACCCCCGTCCTCTATACCGCCCTCCCCTCTTGCCTGTCCCCTCCTCCCAGCATTTCCCCGGCCACCCCCATCCTGCCCTCCCAAGCAGATGACGCTTCCCATGAGGCCCAGGAGCCCGAGTCCTTCTCAGCCTGGTCAGACCGCCTGGCCCGGGAGGGCGCCCAGAGGCGGCGGCGGCAGCAGCAGCGCGGGGCAGAGGGAGCCTGCCGACCGGCACGGGCTGCGGGCCCCAGTCACAGCTGGCCGCGGCAGGAGGAGGAGCAGCGGCGCTTCCGAGAGCGGGCCCGGGCCAAGGAGGAGGAGCTGCGAGAGGGCCGGGCCAGGCGGGCACAGGAGGCTCGTGGGGACCGAGGGCCAGAGCCAGCCAGGGCTGGGCCCAGGGCAGAGCCCCCAAGAGGAGCAGGGAGGGGCAGCCTCTGGCGCTTTGGTGATGTGCCCTGGCCCTGCCCTGGAGGGGGGGACCCGGAGGCCATGGCCGCAGCCCTGGTGGCCAGGGGCCCCCCGTTGGAGGAACAGGGAGCCCTGAGGAGGTACTTGAGGGTCCAGCAGGTCCGCTGGCACCCTGACCGCTTCCTGCAGCGATTCCGAAGCCAGATTGAGACCTGGGAGCTGGGCCGCGTGATGGGGGCCGTCACGGCCCTTTCTCAAGCCCTGAATCGCCACGCGGAGGCCCTCAAGTGACCCCAGGGAAAGAGTGAGAAACTGCAGGGAACGCAGCCTTAGAGGCAGGGCAGTAGTAAGGGGAAGGTCAGGGATGGGGATGACGAGGAAGAGGCTGATGCTGCGCGGCGAAGGATAATGGGGTGGGAGCGAGACTTGTAATGAGTGGGAGTGGGGAGGATATGGGCCACCACCACTGCTCCTTGACTCCTCTAGTTCCTAATAAGACCTGGTTCCACATCTCACTCCCGGTGTCTCCTCTGCCTTTTTCCATTGCTGTGGTTTTCATCATACATGACCTCTTCTTTCTCACCCCGCCCGCCAAAATCCGCAGCTCCTACACACCTGCAGCACGCACGCACACACCAAGTTGGGCTCTCAGCTGGAGCCAAGAAGGCCCTGCTTGCCCACCCGCAAAGGCAGCCCTAAGAAGACCCAGTTTGCCCACCAGTCTCCACTCCCTGCGCTGGGCTCCTCCACTGTGCTGTCAGTGACTGGAGAAATAGACGTGAACAGAGACGAAAAAGGGAACAAAACCAGTTTCCCTCCTCTCCCCAGTTCCCCAGCTAGAACCACATCCTCCTCCCCACTTAACACTCCCTCCCCCAACACAGGGCTTTCCCTTTGCTGAGTCACTGAATGATCTGAGTTGGGGGCAGCTGGAGCTGGGGGCCATGAGGAGGTTGTGGGAGGATGGGATAGAAGCAGAATGGACAAAGGAAGAGCCCTGTGGGGGAGTGGAATTTCGGTTGCTAAAATTAGGAGCAGGGGAAGGAGGTGGAAAGAGCCAAATTATGTAACCTGGGTTGTCTGTTCTTGGGCAACCAGGGATCCACACCCAAGGCTATCTCCCCGCTAGCTCCTCAGTCCTATGTCTTCGCCTCCAGGGCCCCAGTCCTTGCCAGCTTCTGCCTCCATCCCACACCTGGGCTTCCTCTCTCAGCAGTCTAGCCTTCCAGAGAGGCATCTTTTCCTGAAGTTGAGGAAAAGGTACTGAGGGGCGGAGGGAGAGGGTCTGGCGCCATCCTTTCACTGTTCCATACTCAGATCCACTCGAGCTCCCCAGAACCGGGAGAGGAAGTTGTAGACGGTACCAAACCCCGCTGTCGTCCCCCAGGACACAACAGGGAACTCCGCAAAGAGCAAAGAGTTACAGGCGTGTGCTGGCGTGTGTGGTCTGCATGCGTCTACATCAGAGAATATTAAGAATCAGAAACAAATTTTTTAGGGTTGGAGCCCTGGTCTACTCAGGAGAATCCTGAGGGCAGTAGAGGAGAGGGAGGGAAGCCCGCGGGAGCAGGGGAACACAGGCGGGCACGAGACCCTGGGAGAAGACAGCCAAAGAGACCCGAGGCCTTCCAGGGAGCAGGCAGCTGTCAGGGTCCGGAGGAGGAAGGGCTGATGAGAAAGATCTGTGAGAGGAAGCTGCTGTGATTCAGAGAAGAGCCTGCGAGCTGTGAGCAGCCCAGGCGTCCGGTTCCTCTCACAGGCCGGAGATTTCGGAAGTGGCATGCAAAGAGCCCAGCTGTGGAGTTGGGGGGAGCTGGGGTTAGGATCCCTAAGGTGGGGGTTGAGAGGTAAGCAATAGAAAGCTTTGGCGTCCAGATTTGCTCCTCCATCCAGCAGAGTTTTCTTTGGTTTTGAAGCACATCATTTCCCCTCTGCAAGAGTTACATAAAACCAAAGCAAAATAAGCCCTGATCCCTGGCCCCCAAACCTCCCTCTTTTCAACGTCCCTCCCTGGTGTCTGGCCCTCAGGCCTGTTGGGGGTTCCCCTGAGTGAGGGCTGTTCACTTTCTCTGACCACAGGGTTTCCGCTTCTGTGTCTCTTGTTTCCTAGGCTGATAAAAATACTGAGCCCTAGAGGCCCTGGCTTCCTCTGACCCCCTGGGGCCAGGCAGCAGGCATCCTGTCCACCGTGGTGGGGGCAGGGAGGGGGGCCCAGGGATCCCCAAGGGATGACTCAGTGCCTACCATGAAACACTGGGGAGGTGTGAATGTGTGTATCTGCTCTCGAGAGCTGGAACGAGGAATCAATTCTCGGGGAAGGATGATGCATTGGGGTTCAGTTAGGAAAACAGGATTAGGGAACGAGACTAGTGAGATCAAAGAGGGTCAGTTGGGGGATTGAGCTTGGGGCCGGTTTGAGTTAAGTTGGGAAAAGGATCTGGGGGGGACTCTATTCAGTGTAGTTCAACTGAGCAACAAGTGGCGCAAAGATAAATCCAAACTGCTGCAAGTTTGCAGGCTAACAGGGGAGGTAAGGCCTATAGCTAATTGTCATTCAGGGCATGATGCTGAGTAAATATTAGAGCGTAAGTAAGACACAGTGGGTACGGAAGGGGGAGGGGGCGCTGAGCCGGGAGAGGGCATTTGACTGGTGCTGAGTGGGCAGAATTTCTATGGGTGGAGGTGGCGGGAAAGGCTCCATAGACAAACCAACTGGCTTCAGCAGAGACCAGGAGTCAGAAAACAGTATATTGGGGAAAAGACGAGTGTCCTGAGGAAGACGAAGCACGGGTGTGAGTGAGCAGGTGTTGAAGAGAGGCCCGCAGGAGGCCAAGGTACAGGGTCCGGGACCTCAGCCTGTGTGCGGCGGTAGTGGCTAGTGGCGGCAGCCCTGCAGGAGAGGGGGAGAGAGCGGGAGAGTGCTGCGGGGGTTACAGACGAGGAGTGAAGAAGAAAACAGTGATCATTGCTGCCATGTCAAGCCCTTTCCTAACAGGAGTAATCCTGCCAACAACTGTTCAGAAGGTGGGTGGTGGATCTCCTTTATAAAGAGGAAACGGCGGGGGGGGCTCATAAACATGTATTGAACTTGCTTAAGGCCACACAGGTAAAAAGTAGCGGATTAGCACTAAGTGCATCTTACTCCAAAACTTGTGTGCTTTCACTTAGGTCCGAGTAACTCCAAATAGCGTTAAAGGAGGGAACAGATCTTAAAAACTTTGAGAGGATAAGTCATTAGCACAACTGGTGGGACGGTGGGAGGAATCTTAGAAGACGAGGAATCTTGGATGACCCTGAATTTTGTTCCTAGGGGATTAGAAAGATGATGCCCTAAGCCTAGGAGACACCTAGCTGAGAGGAAAGATAAGGAATTCAGTTTCAGACACTGAAGCAATACATTTTGATTAAGCACCTGATAGGAGCAGGGCACTCTGCTAGACAAAAGGTTTAAAAGAAATATAAAGTCACTGCCCTCATAGAACTTGCAGTCTAATGAGATAAACAATATATAAGTAACAACTACAGGTGGTAATGGGAGGTGCACCTGCCTAGAGTAATAAAGTGTTCAGACAAGGCCTGCTGAGTTTGAGGTGCTAGCATAATAGGGGGAGATTTCTGGCAAGCAGGTCCAGAGCTCAAGAGAAAAGTGTGAGCTGGAGGGCTAGATTCGGGCATCATTCCCTTCCTAGGGGAGATTGAGCCTCGAAGTGCACCGGATCCCCTAGAGAGGGTGATCAGAAGAGCCCCTGAAGACGGTCGAAGCAAGAGGAATCAATAAAGGAGGGAGGTGGGGAAGTGGTCAGAGAAGTAGGGCAAGGGAGGGGTGTGCCAAGCAGAGACAGGGCAGCCACATCTAATGCTTCAAAGAGGCCTAGCAGGGGAAGGTTGAAAGATCCTTTGGGTTCAGGAACTAGACAATTACAAATTTTGAGAAAACAGTTTCCACTTACCAGAGGGGCAGAAATCACTTTACATAGGTTAAGGAATGAGTGGGAGGTGAGGAAAGGGAGGTGGTAGGTACAAAGTCATAGAATAGTGAATATGGAAGATAACTAAGAGTCATCTCTAATGCAACCCACAAATTTTACAGATGAGGAAAATGTTACCAGTTCCCAAAAAAGTGGGTAGTTAAGGGGGCTAGTCTCTTGAGACATCACACAGAAAAGGAAGGTGAGAGATGAAATGGCAGAGAGAAAAACAGAGTCCAGGGAAGGATTTTTTTTATTTTCAAGAAATAAAATTGAACGGGGCGCCTGGGTGGCTCAGTCGTTAAGCGTCGGCCTTTGGCTCAGGTCATGACTTCAGGGTCCTGGGATCGAGCCCCGCATCCCTTCTCGGCGGGGAGCCTGTTCTCCCTCTCCCATTCCCCCTGCTTGTGTTCCCTCTCTCGCTGTGTCTCTCTCTGTGAAATAAATAAAATCTTTAAAAAAAAAAAAAAGAAAAGAAAATTGAACATGTTTACGATGAAAGCACAGCGCACGAAGAGAGAAAGATACTGAAGATTTGAGGTGGGAAAGAATATGGTAAAGACACAGGAAGTGGAATACAGAGCACAGAGGATCTGCCTTGGACAGGAGAAAAGAGTCCTCAGAGTCAAAAGAAAAGAAAGATGGGGCGCCCGGGTGGCTCAGTGGGTTAAGCATCTGCCTTTGGATCAGGTCATGATCCCAGGGTCCTGGGATTGAGCCCCATATCAGGCTCCCTGCTCAGCCCCAAGTCTGCCTCTCCTTCTGCCCCTCCCCCCGCTCATGCTCTCTCACTCACTTTCTCAAATAAATGAAAGAAATCTTTTAAAATAAATTAAAATTTAAATTAAAAAAAAAAAGAGGGCGCCTGGGTGGCTCAGTCGTTACACATCTGCCTTCGGCTCAGGTCATGATCCCAGGGTCCTGGGATCAAGCCCCGCATCAGGCTCCCTGCTCGGCAAAGCCTGTTTCTCCCTCTCCCACTCCCCCTGC